TACATATGCTGCCTTCGATATGTCATAAAACTGCTGATAATTGAATCCCCAAAGGCATTGTTTTCAGAGCAGTTGGGAATCAAACTCTCCTAACAAATAATGATTTTCTCATGTTTGGCCCTGAAGGAACGTGATTCTGTAGGTCTGAAGGCTTCTGGGCTATTCCCAAAGCTGCAGATGTGGCTCCTCAAACAGCGTAGGCACTTAGGTGGCATGTGTTTCCAGGTAGATGCACAAGACTTAACAGCAGGGAAAAGGTGCAGGAGTGCAGGTTTACAAAGATAAAGGATCAGTCTCTAAGACAAGTGCTCAAGCTGTTTTTTCCCAGTCAAACCTGGCTAGAAAGCAGGAATCAGCCCTGTAGGGTTACCAGGTCTGCACTCCCTTTGTATTCTCACCTGCAAATATTTTCTCTGCTGTTTCTCTCTCTGGCTGACACTCACCTCTGCAGTCAGATGTGGTCTCTGCTGGGGTTGGCTTTCACAGCCCAGTCCTTCAGCTGGCCTTTTGGACAGTTTCAACCCAAGCTTCAAACTCTTTATGGCCCGTTATTTCCCAGACATCTGCCTCTATGGATCATCATTTTTGAGTCCAGGGAAGAGAACAAAGTGGGGAAGGGTGTAGAGGGTAAGTCCTGTGAGGAGCAGCTGAGGGAGCTGGGGGGGGCTCAGCCTGGAGAAAAGGAGGCTCTTCTCGCTCTCTGCAACTCCCTGACAGGATGGTGGAGCTGGAGGGGAGGGTGGGATGGGTCTCTGCTCCCAGAGAACAAGGGACAGGATGAGAGGAAAAGGCCTCAAGCTGTGCCAGGGGATGTTCAGGTTGGATATCAGGAGGAATTCCTTCCTGGAAAGGGTAGTCAGGCATTGAAAGGGCCTGCCCAGGGAGGTGGTGGAGTCCATCCTGGAGGTGTCCAACGAACAACTGGATGTGGCACTCAGTGCTCTGGGTTGGGTGACAAGTTTGGGATCAGGCACAGGTTGGACTCAAGGATCCCAAAGGTCTTTTCCAACCTCAATGATCATGTGATTCTGTGATTTGGGTAGCTGCCACCTGCCAAAGAAAGCTTTCACCACAGAAATCCTTGTTTTCCAGGCACTGGAAAGCCTCTTGGAATCTGACAGAGGACCCAATTCAGATTTTTTGCAGGTGTAGAACAAAAACTCACAAGTAGAAACTCCTTTCTCCTTAACTTACTATAGATGAATTTTGTGATGCAACACTAGAGCCAGGAACGTGAATCTCACTTTCTGCAGTCACATCCTTTTACACCCCTGCATTACCTTGTGCCTTTGTGAACCACACATATGAATCTATAACACAAATAAATTCAGCTGACTTGCCTTGAGAGATGTTGCCCTGATACTCTGCCAAGGGACCGCATGTCCGTAGATCAAGGGGTTTATTTGAGAAAACATTATGTGTTTGGTGTCTTCATCTCTGAATAAAATTTGTCGTGCCATCATATTTCCTCCTCCTGTTTGGATTTCCATGCTAAATAGTTTTGGTTTTTTTAAAGTTCTCCTCATGTGTTTCCTCCTCCCCAGGCACTGGATAGTTTCTATTGCCATACTCCTGACCCCTTCTGCCAAACAACAGCCTCCTTTAATCTCTCTTCCAGTGAGACACAGTCATCTGTCACAAGGCTTTCAGAATATGAGGAGGAAAAAGATGTCCCACATCTTTAATTGGGATCAAGTCAGGATTGCAGAGGAGCTGCCTTCTCTCCAAGCATCTGCATCCACTTGCTAAATAGATTGCCTTCACCAGGCTGGCAGTGCTCATCACAGCCAGCCCTGCCCTGCCCCTCTCCTGGAAGAGGAAGAACTGCCTGAGGCTTGTGATTCACATCATCTCTGTGCAGGACCACGGGAAATCACATCTGACAGCCACAAGGAACCAAAAGGGGAAGGGCAGACCCCCAAGGAATAAATCTATGGGAGGCAGGCAGTAGCAGTGCTCAGGCTTGTCAAGTATAAAACCTCTCACAGTTCAAAAAAGGTTGGGAGGAGAAGAAGGAGGGGAGGAGAAGATGGGGGGGGGGGGGACAGAAGGGGAAGAATTCTGCGCTGTCCTGTGAGGTAGTCCATCAAAGAGTGGGCTTTGGGGTACTCAATTGTCCCTGGTGAGCAGCCATGAAAAGGGTCAGGCAGGAACTGTATGACAAGGGCACAAGTACAAATCAACAGAAGGAAAGGTCTCACCAGCTGCCTGTGTGGCAGGAGAGAAACAGGAGCAAGATGCTCCTGGAGCTAATTAAGGGAGCTCTCTGCACAAGGCAGATGCCAATCTTCCTGAGTGACAGCCAGAAGGGGAAGAACATATGGCAAGAAACCAAGCTGAACGAGGGAAGAGATGGAGTGAGATGGGCAGAGAGAAAAAAATGCAGCTTCCCAGCAAACAAGGAGAGTCTCCTCTCCCTGGCAGAGAGCACAGGACCCCTCAGAGGTACCACAGGGTACAGACTGGGGCCACCACAGGTGTTACCTAATCCCAGACCCCCTTTTATCCACCAGTGGGACACAGACCACTTCTCTGACCACCCATGCCAACTCCAAAGCCCTCTGGAGAGATCCCCACTGGCTTTTCCAGTGTTTCAGTCAGATTCCTCTATTTTAAATGAGTACCTGGCCAGAATTGGTAAGAATTAATAAGGCAAAGCAGCACATGCAGCAGTTAAAATTATTTACATGCCAGCTGAGAGTCTGTCTCAACAGACCAAAGTGTTAAGCACAGCCAAGCAAAGTCTCTTTATAAGGCAGTATATATTTTGTTGTTTTGGTTTTTTTCTAAAAACAGATGCAACAAAGGCAGTCACACAGTTGTTGTGACAGAGGAAAAGTCTGGGATTGATGGAAAAAGGCAGCAATGGGTTGGCAGCAGGTTTTGCCTGGGCAGGGAATGAAGGGGTCTTTAGCCTCACCAAGAGACAAGGCTGATATGTGAAAACAAACATTTTAAAATAAAATCCTGTTAACCACAAGAAGCCACTGTGAGTATGCATGAACGCTGCGGCTACAAGATAGGCTGAAAACACCTAACTGCTCAGATTCCTTCATGGATTTCTGTTCCAGTGTGTTGGACTGAAAAGATAAGACTAGTAATAAGTTCATCTCCCGATGAAATACTTGAAAGCTGCCTATTTTTTTCCAGAGGTGTTGCTTCAGATAATTAGGAGAGGCTGACAGAGGATGTTTTCAAGCATTTTGTTTTGTCAGTTCCTTCTCTGTCTCTCATTTGAACCATCAGAAGAGAGAAAATGTTTTGCTTCTGTGGCAAAGAGCCCCTGTTTGTCTCTTTGAAAGTGTCTATGTTCAGAGCTAAGGAAAAAAAGCAACATGAAAATGTCCTGAAAATTTTAAATAAAATAAATTTCTTATGAATAAAAATTATAAATAAATAATTTATTTATAAATGGGAAAGTGGTGGTGTGTCTGAATTTCCAATGCTAATTTCAGCAGCAATTTCATTAGCTTGTAAATAAACTTTAGAGCAGTGTTACAGTGAGAACACAATTGTGATCAGAGAATATGATATTTTACCAGATGCACCCTCCACTCAAGGAATGGATATTTTCTGGAAACCTTGAAGAACACCGTGGAAAATCTATTCTGTATATCAGCAAGTAGTTTTAAAGAAATTATTAACAGCTTATTTGGTTCTAAGATCCTCTGAAGAGCAGCTCATACTAAAAAGCCTCCTGCTTATTTCTGATCAAGACTTCACACTCTCAGAATTGACCAGCCCTGTTGTCCTGTCCAGCTGAGTAGGTTTTCACAAGATATGTTAAAATGTCGTGGGTTTGCAGGTTGTTAGTGTCTCTATTAGACTGATTACTCTCTGTAAGCTTAAAATAATGATAACTTTAATTTCTACCAGAAATTCTACCATGAAACTGGCAGTATTAGGTTGGAGCTAAGAGCCAGCAGCAGCACATGACGTTTTTGTTCTCCATAACTCTTCTTAGAGTTACTACCTGCATTTCCTTTGAAATTCCCAGTGTGTTCTAGAAGAAATTAAAATTTATTAATTCAGAACCATTCAGACATTAGGCCTCCTAATGGACCACACACACATACACCCCCCCAAAAAAACAACAAAACAAAACAAAACAAAAAAGAAAAAACACAAAACAAACACAAAATTACAAACATTTACTCACTTCTGTGTTTGAAAGGATAAAAGAAAAATTAATGAGATCCCAGCTTCAAGACTAGACCCTGCACATCTTGCACGCAAAATGAGAGTTCCCATTGAAATATCTTCTTAGCTGTTAGCCAAAGAAACAAACTCAAATATGTATTCAGGCACTACTGGAGTACAATGCCACAGCTACTTCCACACCAGTTCCTACCAGGGATTTATGTAACTCACTAAGCAGATTTTCAGGAGAACTGAAGATTTCCTGATCACTTCAATTACATGAAGAATCTGCCTACATGAAGAATTTCCACTTGGTGGTGACCCATTAATCTTTCCAATAATATAAAATGTGTAATTCTGCATCTTCTTAATTTTCACTGCAGAGTTTTGCAGAATTTAGGAGCCTTCATGGTACATCCTGGGGACTACAGTCTCAAGGGACTTTGGAAGAGCATCAGTTTTTCTGTGAGAGTGTTTATATAAACCATTTCAAATCCTTAAAAATTCCCAGCTGGCACTGCAGGCACCAGCCCCAATACCAAAGGGATCCAGAAGATGAACTGCAGGATTTAAGACCCTTCCTTGTGTTAAGATTCTTCCATTTCAAACAGATTGGAAATGGAAAAACATCAATACTGAGGGTGTGCTTATTTAGGAATAGGTTTAAGGATTTCCACCTGTGGTAGTTTGGTCTAGGCCTTCCTCAGTGACCAGTTTGTAACCAAGGAAGTGCCTGGATTTACCCAGTATTCCCTACGATTTTTACATAAGCCAGGCTATAAGAAGAAAGGAGGAGAGGCCTTCGCCCTCTCTTTTTCCTTCCAGCGGCTTGGAGGTGCAGGTTCCCTGCTGTTGAGTCTGTCGTGCTGGGGAGTGAGGCCTGGTAAGGCCTTGCCGACCTTGGGAGATGGAGGTTGCCGGCAGTCGCTCCAGCGTGACTCTCTGTTGTCCCAAGGAGAGTAGTAAGATATTCTTTGCTAATTCTTTTAGTTGCTAGATCTTGGGCTATTGATCAGGATATATATTTTTTATTCTGGTTTTGTTCCTTTTTTTTCCCTTTCCCTTTTCCTTGTGAAATTGTATATATATTTCAATTGTATATAACTGTAATATAAGTATAAATATATTTTTATATATTGCTTTAGCTGTCTCTCGTTTTGGTTCTCTTGGGTTTTTTTCCCCTCTTCTCCCTGAGGTCTGGGGGGGACACACACACACTTCTCGTGGTAGGGTTTGGAGACTTGGCAGGGAGCCAGCTTCAAACCAAATTCTTTTGACTGATGAGGGGCAGGACTTGTCATGACTCCACACTCCATTTCACAGCCCATGATTTCAGACTGGTTGAATGTGGGATTTTTCAAGGAGTAAAGACAAAACTGTCCCTTTCCTTTTGGCTTCACATTTCTGAAGTCAGGGGTGTAATTGGGACAGAGCTTTTCGGTCTCCTGAAGAGCCTTGATTAATATTTTGTGACAGAAAACTACAGCTGAGAGTGAAAAACCTGCTCTTTGTTGATAAAACACTGAAAATTCAAGTTCTGTGCCCTTTTCACTGCAAAGACCAGCTTTAGCTGGAAGAAAACAATAACAAATCATGTCCAGGGCTGAAAATAATTTTTGTTTGTTTGTTTGTTTTTGTTTGGGGGGGTGCATTTTTGGGGTGGGGGTATTATTTTGGGGGTTTTTTTGGTGAGGAAAGCCTGATAATAAATTCCTTCCATTGCAGACACACAGAAATGGCAGAAAAGCTGTAGACTGGCTCCTGGACACCTGAGAGGCAACTCAATAGCCTAAGAGGCATCATGAGGCCAAATAAAAAGTGTTGCTGCTCTTTCTGTAGCCCTGGTCCATCCACTTCAGCTTCAAGTCAAAGCCAGGAGAGAGGAAAGTAAAGGTCTGCAATGAACAAGTAGCTTGTGTTAATATGCAAAAGCTCAGTAGGATGCACTGAAGAAAAAAAAAATCATTTATTTGGAAAACTTCGTTTTTGAGTTTCCAAAAATCAATATTCCTTTACATTCCCAAGCAGCAGCACTTACCTGCAAACAGGCAAAGTGATTACTTCCAATAACCAATTAAAATCTTTAGGCAGCCAGCACAGGGCAGGCTGATGTACCAAAATCATAAAACTGACCCAGAAAAAGCACTCAGAACTAGGCAGATGCAAAACGTTCAGAAGGGCTGTTCCAAAATTTGCAGGGATTGAAACTCTTTGTCAGGCTTCAAACACAGTGTGAGTCATGAGTAAATTTACACACCACTGACTCAGAAGAAACAAATTACATTTTCTGACATATGATGTCAGCTTGAAGAAATAAAAGTGCAAAAATGTAGATATAAGGTTTAGCAGTTTCTTCTGATTTCTTTCAGACTGTGTCCTGTAACATCAAATGAAGCCTGTATTTTTACATCAAACAAACTAAGGGGTGATCTAGGAACCAATAAATCAGATTTAAGATCTACCATACACCAGTTAAATGCAATGTCACAAGGGTTACAAGAAGTGGAGAACAATTCAAGGGATATTCAATAATGGTGAAGAACAGACCCACCCTGGTAAATGCTTTCTGAGCTCCTGGGGACAGTTTCTGAAATGCAATGTTGCATCCAGCCTTTTGGAAATCAACAATTAAAAAAAAATCAATGACAGAACTAACACTTGCTACAGCAAGAATCAGTATTTCAAGAAGGGAAGGCAAACACCACCATTTATAAACTTGAAGGAAAGAAATAAACCTATTTCTTCTGGCTACCTGGAATTCAGTGTTACTTACCAGCAAGTGGACTCATGGTTTTTGTCCCTGTATCCGCAGTGGCCTTGGCTCTGATCATTCCTTGTGCAGTTTTAATCAATACTATGCCAAAAAGTCCACCACTTCAGTTCAAACAGCAGTCTTTAATGTATTACCTGAAAATCCAATTTGCTGCCAATGTAAAGTTGCCTAATATTGGTGTGAAGGGCAATTATATAAAATTTTAACAGCAGCTGAAATGTATGAGAAATAAATGTATTCATTTGTTCAATTCTTTGTTATCACAGCAAGAGCTGCATAATAGTCTGCAAAATTTTTCCTGTTTCATTTAAACTGAGACTCTTCCCTTTGAGTTTAAGTGGGAGTGGATGGGGCCCTGAATTTGAAACACTGAATCAGTTTTGAAGAGATGATATAAGGATTTTGTTTGAATGAACACATATATGTTGAAAAGATTGCTTGGTGTCATGCAAAAATGAAATAATGCACCATGTGGACAATGTAAAAAAAGCTTATCTTTTATTAATGAGTCTGTTAGTACCAATGTAGCTTACTTCTGTAGCACACAAATAATTTTAACTTGAATTTTCTTCTTTCAGGACTAGGGCAATGGACTGTCCCTGTTGCTCCAAAATGTGCATTTGATAAGGATTGCTTGGTTCACAGAAAATACAGCTTAGTGGGAATGCAAAGCCACATATTTTCATCTTTTTCAACCATGGGTGCTTGCCTTTATACATGGCACAAGGAGACAGAAACTGCAATTATGATCAATTTTTTTCTTCTGGTGCTTTTTCCACTAATGCACCATTAACTCTTTACAAACATAAGGCTCATCATTCCAGTCCTATGATGAGCACTGTATTTCTTATCTAATTCAATTAGTGTGTTTATCCTTTCTTACTCTTGCTGCCACTTGAGTAGATTTGTGATGATACAGGGGATACATGGAGGAGTCACCTTCCACTACCATGAAAGACTGCAACACTAAAAGTCACAGCAGAGATAAGATAACTACTACCTGTGCACCTTGTCCCAGTGGATCCTGGGGGTAATACCAGTTGTGTCATAGTTTAGGAGAAGCTAATAAAAGGAAACAAATTTTATTTTTCTTGGCAATTTTTTTTACTTTTACCTCTCCTTTTCATTTTTTTGCACTCTGTTTTATTCTAAAGTTTGCCTTGTAAATCAGCAGGTACAAATTCCTATCTTTTGGTCAAGTGCCTTCCTGCTGAAAGGGCCACACACATCATTAAAGTCTGCACCAAAAAAACCTGAACTGTTACACACTGCAGGTTTGCAGTGATGAGTCTCTCAAGCACAAAGCCAGCAGATATTCACCCTCAAAGTCAAGAGAACACAGGTGGGTTGGAAAAGGACATGATGATTGAGGGATATGACTGAAGGGTATCTCTCTTATTCCCAGTCTCACAGATGCTGTAAGAATCTCTCACAGCAACAGGGCTAATTTTGCCCATTTAAAACATGCAAGAAAATGACAGGTAAGAATTACCCTAACAGCACCATCAGAAGTAACTAGAAGGATAAATGACCTCTGTGGGAGGAAGAAGTGCCTTTATGTCAAGGTTCAGGAAGCACTGCCGTGCTTGGCTCAGCAGGGTGAGCATTTCACACCAGTGACTGACAGTCATTTTGACAGGCTGCCACTGACTGGTGTCAGGTTTTAATTTCCCAACCCTCAGAGCATGACAGCGCTGCTCTCCAGACCACGGGGAGCATCACCTATTTAGCACTAGCATCCTGAACTCTCTCTAACAACTGCCAACATCTGTCCCCACTGGGTGCAAGCAGAGGGCACCAAGCTGGAGAGTGTTTTGCCACTCAGCAGGGAATACCCTGGTTTTGATTTGCACCTTCTCTTGTTAACCTCACTCAGGTTCCCAGGCATTCATTGTTTCGCTTGTTTCCTTTATGAAACAAATGAAAGTTTGGCAGCAGCTGCCCACAGGCAGCTGTGGTAAGTCCTTACTTCTGGTTATGTGTTTTCCCTCTGAAGTACTTCCCTAAATCAACCAACTGATTTGGGTTCCACCTGTGTGTCACTGCTGATGGCTCAGCAATATTTAATTGGTATCTTTCACCTTAATGATGCATCTCCAGCATCACTTATTGAGAATCTCCAGAATCTCTATTTCAAACTGCATAAAATTCAACAAACCAGGAAATATTCAGGAATGCCTACCTAATAATTAGGAGATCTTTGGAACCTCTCAAGGTGTTTAAAGACCACTGCAGTATAGTTTACAAAGACTACAAACAACTAATTAGTTCTATTATCTAAAATTAAACAGGCATAAAACATGTCTGCTAAATCTGTATTTGTAGAAGATTTTCTAACATATTATTACTTACTATTACATAGTATTACTTATAACCTAAAACCACTATAGTTGGTATGTTACTGTGCTCTTCCTTACTAGAAATCAGGGCCAAATCATGGCTAATTTGGAGTTCCCAAACTTTGCCTCTAATGGAAGAAAGGACAAGTTTGAGGACCACCGTGTCCTAAATGCTCAGACAGAGCACTGAAAATCATATCACAGTACCTTTTTCACTGCTAAGGAGCTTCCTCCGCTTTGCTTATATAGATTTTGAATTATAGCACTGGTTACCCCCATTCAGGTAAAATTCACAAGGGAGACTGATGGGATTTGATAGGAAAGAAATTAACCTTGAATTACAGGGTATAATGCTTATAATCCCTCTTCTGGCGCGCAGTTGAGCCAGGAAGTTAAGGGTAAGCCTCTGACCAGATGTCTGGTGCTCTCCCACTGGATCCTCAGAGTAAGCCTCCAGCTCAGACACAGGGAAGTATCAGGATGCTGCTGTTCTGGAGCCATCACTGCGGATAAAAACACAGCTTAAGTGGCTCTGAAGGAAAAGGAGTTTATGACGACTAAGAGGAGGGGAAGTAACTTGGAAAATAAAAGGAAAGCACATCCTGAGAAAGAAATTTATGATATTTTGTCAAGACACAGAGGAAATACAAAATGAGGAAATATCTCGCCTTCTGAAAGAACAAGCTAAGAGATTTACATCTATATCTATCTATCTATATATAGATACATATATATTTAGTATCTTTATTTGATTTCAAAGTCTTCATTACTGATTCTCTCTTCAAGACCTTGTAAGCAGGATGAAAAGCTATGCATTTTGGCTTTTTGCTACAGGAATAAAGTTCCATAACATGAATCTCTTATTCACAATGGAATTTTTTTAATCTCAGCTTGTTTCCCAAGGTGTCTTTAAGATCATGATCAATAAATAATCAGTTAAACAGTCTGTTACCTACTTTTCCTTTCATCAGCTGGTGAAAGACCTGCGCCAACTACACACAACAGTGCCAGCAGAAGAAAATACCTCGTTTCACTTAGATGCACATTGCTAAATATAGATTTTACCAAACTGCTTGTTTCTAAGTTCATAGGACTCATTCCCACTGTTTCTCAGTGGCTCCTTCTCATCTCCCATGTCGTTATCTTTCATCTGTGCAAAATAGGCAGGAGAAGCTTTGCACTCATGGTGCCCGTCAAGGGATTTGAGGTGGATCAGCATGTGAAGGGCATAGGCAAGGACCAGCAGCAGGATCAGGGACATCACCAGCCCCATCAGTATTGCTGGAGAGAAGAAGGATGCACAGTCCTTTGCATAGGCAAAATGTCCTTCCTGGATGTTAAAACCTTGGATCTACGAGGAGAACAAGAGAGCTCATGTTAAATGAGGTGCTTGTGTTCCTGATGGCAGTAAGAATTTCTAATTTAATACCTGCACATTGCAAATTTGTACCTCCCTGTGCTGGCTGGAGTTAATGCTCAGAGTTTTTCCAGGTCAGTCTTCTAGAAACCACTAGCTATTCTAATCCCCTCTGCTCTGCTGCCCAAAGGATCTGTAGTTGTGTTTGAAACAAAATCTTCTCTTGATGGCCCACAATATTTAATTGATGCCTTTCACCTTAATGGTGCACCTCCAGCATCACTTGTTGAGGGTCCTCAGAGTCTCTGTTTCAAACTGCATAAACTTCAATGCAACAAACCAGGAAATATTTTTAAATGCCTACCCTAGAATTAGGCTTTCCTCACCAGATCCATGTGTGTGGTATTTGGTAGCAAACCAACTACACTACAGGAAGCTGCATCCAACTATGGAAAACACCAATAATTTTTACTTGTGGCTTCAGCTCTAATATGAAGTTTATGACACTGGCATTCAGGGAATTGTGCCTGGTCCACTAAATTAGCCCATGGGCATTTATCACATGGTGAGAAAAGGGGACCAGCTTTCCTCCTCAATTCCCTTTTTCAGCTCTTCATGCCCTATGACTTAGGTATGTAAAAGCAAGATGTTCTAGTCCAGCCATCTGAGGCTCCCTCATTGCCAAACACAGAAAACTTGGCACTTTTAGAAGATTATTAACCTCATCCTAAAATAAGGACTTAAGACGAGTCAGAGGAATTATCCACTAGCTTTAGAGGCAGGCTGGGGTGACTATAATCAGGCCACAGGGTTAAAATTCGTAGGCATCAGAAGTTAAGTGAGATGAATTCTGTACCTGGTGTCTGATGCTGTTACTGATGCCGCGTTTAACAGCTCTGCTCAGAAAGATGGAACACTGGAAGTTAAATTCACCCCCCACACTAAAGGGAACACAAGCAGAAGACTACAGAAAATCTATACAGCCCTTAATTTCCTTTGATAGGGAGATAAAGAGAATAATTTAAGTCCTCATTTCAATTTTGTGTTTCATGGAAATCCCATAGACTGTACATAGAAGGCCATTATATTTCCTTGTCAGCAAATGGCCAAAACTTCCCATCAATCTACCTACAGGATCCCTTGGGCCTAATTCCATGACGTTACCTGGAAATCAATAAAAGTGACTTCCCACAGCTGTGAGAGGTCATTTTCAGAGCTGGGAATGAGGAGAGCATCGTATCTCTGCAGGCTGCTCACATGGTCGCAGTGGTAGGAGTAAGTCGCCGGCGCATGGATTCGGGTCGCATTGAACGTCGCCTGCACCGAGTGGTTGTAGAGCAGCTGCAGCCTGTGCAGGCTGAACCAGTTCTGAACAGATAGCTGGTAATAGCTGGTGGTCAGCAAGAACCTGGAAACATTGTGTGGGAAGAGAGGTGAATAAGGAAAACAAGTCAAAGGGTTCCACCTGTTGAATTTGCACATTGAATAACCTTAGGAGACTCACTGGCATCGCCAGTTTATATCTGTGTGAGCTCTAGATCCTTCCACTGAGTCTGGAAAGCGAGGAAGAGCTTTCCATGGAGGTGGCAGAGCCCTGTTACAGCTGCCCAGGGAGGGTGTGGAGTCTCTCTCTCTGGAGACATCCCAGACCCACCTGGACATGTTACCGTGTCACCTGCTCCAGGTGACCCTGCCAGGGCAGGGAGTTGGACCGGGTCATCTCCAGAGGTCCCTTCCAATGCTAAAACTTCTGTGTTTTGAGGTTGTTCATTATTACAACTGAAGGAGTTTGCTCCTTGTTACTCGTTCTCCCACACAGTAAGAGGATTTTGAGGGATTTTTAATAAATGACTGAGCAAAATATATCCAACACAGGTTGTAGTAGGTTTGTTTCCTTTTTCTGGGAGGAAACATAGGATAAGTCACCTGATGCATATTGACTTGGAAGATATTCCATACCATGTTACATCAGCTCAGATATAAAAAGGGGAGAAGGAAGTAGCTCACTCTCTTCCGTGATAGCTATCCGGCAAGATGGCTGCTCCTTGGAGGAGAGAGAAAGAGCACTTTGCTTATGGCAGGAAGTAGAATTTTACTGTTAATTTCCTTTGTCTATGTTTTTGTAGTGTTATTAGGTTTTTTTTCCTTTTTTCCGTGTAAATATAAAACTGCCTTTCTTGGTAAATCCCAGGGTTTTACGTTTTTTTTTCATCTCCCCTTTTCCCTCTGGATGGGGGGAGACCTGTGCAGCCTCGGTGGACATCTGGCATTCAGCCAAAATAAACTACCACACTGGTATTGTACTTCCATCCAAGATATGGGAATTTAATTAACAAGAAATGCTGTTTTTTCTGTCACCAAGAAGTAAACATAAACCAGGTCACAGTCTGATGTCTGAACACCCCACACTATCAGTTCTTGACATAAAATTCCCAAGAAAAATGTAGTAAATCACCAAAGTTTAGCTAAAATCTCAGACACAGGAAGATTCTATACAAAAGGGATGACGCAAACTTTTCTCATTAATAGAAAAGTCAACAAAGGAGAAAAAATGACTTAGTATAAGGCGGGAAAATGACAGACACACTGAGTGCAGTGACAATTATACAATCAACAATTTCCATCACATTATTTTTGCTTAAACAAATTAACTTTAATTCCACAAGCAACTGCATAACAATGTATATTAGCCTGTTTTTTATTATCTGGTTGGGGTTTTTGCCATATAAACTTACCTGATAACTAGTCCCTTTAGATTGCCAATGTCCCCAAACTTCAGAGAAAGCCTAGGTCAAAAAGCAAGTTACATCAGGCTAGGAAAAAAATTCAGAAGTCTTCAGAGAGAAAAGCAGCACAAAAGATTAAACTCAGTTATACCTGGAGCCTTTAGCTCAGTATATCCTTAAAGTCAGTGGGGAAAAAAACTGGAAGGATTAAATTTTCCTCCATTGAAATCTACTAGTTCACCTGCAGTTTGGAACAAGGTCCAAACTGTCCAGAAAGAGTATAAATGTGTTTAACTTCCAGCACAATTAAATCCCACTGCTTTCCACATCAGTTGGTAATTAGTTCAGTCGATCTCTGTTCTCCTTCTCAAGCCATGTCATCTAAGTCAGCTATCACCTCTGTATGTCATCAGAAAGTGTAAACACACACATTATTCCCATCTTTTCAAATACCAGAGCATAACAAACACAGATGTCACTGGAGTCCAAAGTCCACACATGCACATCATTAGAGCCACATAAATACCCTGACTGTGAGGCAGCTCTATAAAGGTCACCTGCAGTGAGCATGGGCACATGAAATTTACTAAATTAATCTATCATCTTAATTAATGCACTGTAGCAATACATAACTAAGTGGAATATATTGTTTCATCACTTAACACTAATATTTTGCCTCTTAAAACCTGTACAGAGATTCTCATTGTTCACATAAGACAAAAACAAAATGCAGCAGAAACATGCAGCATCTGAAAGACTTCCAAAATTAAAGTTGAAGAATATATTTAAAAAACAAACCAACAAAACAAAACAAAAAACTTCACACAAAATAAAACTAAATAAAAACCCCAAACAAACACACAAAAAAAATCCCTAAACAAACAGCTAGCTCTATGATTTCATAGGAGATCTAGACTTCAAGACTTCTTGCACCTTGACTAACACTGGTCCAATAAGCCAGGACACTGAATCCAGACTATCCCTTTCTTTATTGCAAAGGGAAATCATAATAGCTGAGGATTAGCCACAGGTAAATACGGCATTCAACTAAGAAAAAAACGCAGGTTGGATCATTATATTCCTATAGCAAACAAATATGTGTTCAGTGTCTAATATTTTTTCCTGGCTCCAGCTACTTTACACTGATTACACAGCATAAATCAGCTTGAAAGACAATACAGAGAGTTGTCTTAACAATGAAAGCTAGAGAAGGGAGAATTCTGAGGGATTTTTTCTGATGTGAGAAAAACTGGGCAATCTACCATGTGAGGACTGAGCCATCAACTGGCTTAATTTAGGTTGATTCTTAAAACTGAGATTACAGAGCAACATTCAAGCAAGCTTTTCCCTTTCTTCTCTGTCACCAACACTGTTTCAACCACAGACCCAAATCACAAGAGAATCATACATTATCTCCCTCCCAGACAGAATCAGGGCAAGCGCTAATTTCTTAGAAATCTGTATTTACAAAATGAAGCCTCTACAGTAGTAAGACTACAGAGGTACCCGTGACAGACAGGGAGACAGAGTAACCTGCTTGTCTAACAGTCTCCAAATATCAGCTCCAGAAGGAGTTCGCAGACCACAAAAAAACACTGTCCTTCTGATTTTCCAGGTCTTACGAAAAACTATAAAACTATTCTTTGAGTTTTGAAACCCTTCATTTTGCATTCTATTACATTACAATAACTACTAGTCAGAGCAAGATTATTTCCAAACTGTAGACCAGAAGAGAGGATGGAATGTTTGTTATTACTTTTTATTTCTAAAATAACTTTATTCCATTCTCTACCTCTGCCTGTTTTGACAGGCAGAGGGTAGGGAGAACTAATGGAATAGTTCACATGTTGATGGAACTGCTGCATTGGTTCACATGCTGATGACATAATATTCAGACTGCCTTTGTTGAATATTATGATACTACACGCAAAAGTCCTTGTTTCTTTTTCAATTTTACTTTTAGTTTTCAGGCATTTCTCAGTAAAATTTCTGTGCACCTTGGGTTATCCTTTGCAGCTGTGTGATCAGAAAGACTTAATACTTTCTAGGGAAACATATTTAGCTGTACAGGTGAAATGCCATATAGGACTAAATACAGACCCGCATCCTGTACAGTACTGCTGGCACACCTCCTGTGAAGGGGTGAGTAGTCATGCACAGCCCAAAGGCCCCATATTCAGCATAGAACCCACTCTTCAGCCTCCCAAGCAATTGTCTAAAACAGCTGGAAACTAAACAGATCAACAGATGGAGCCTCACAGGCCCTAAGAGCAAAGCTCGCTGGCCCCAAGGAGTGACCACACCACTGCAACAGCTGTGCACACCCATGTGTCCCATGAAAGGCTGGCTTTAAAGGATATAACCCCTGCTGCTGCAATGGCAGGACATTTAGGAAAGAGCCCCGGGGCTCTACAAGGTCAGTTTTCCTTCAGTATGTACTTCCTAGACTTGTAATCTGGCACCAGTTCCACTGGTGTAGCAGAATTCCACCTTACATTGCACTGTCTTCACTGCAGTTTGAGTCTCCAACATCCACTGTGGCATGGACACCAAATGTCTTCTCTGTCAAGTCCAGCTGAGTGTGGTTTTCAAGCCTGATCATGATCCTCTTGGCCCAGAAAAGGATGCAGGGGATGCCATTGACCGTGACATTGAGGGGGCTGTGGTGGCTGTGGGAGAACCGCCTCCAGAATGCTCCTTCCCACTGCCCTTCCCTGCTGAAGTTGTGGCTGACAACCTGAGGAACCACACAAAAGATGGCTATCAGAAGGTGTACATTTCAGTATTTGCTCTCCATCCTACCAGAATAAATGAGGTTGTTTACCTGGGACACCAGTAAGAAGTACTTCAACACACTGAAAAGGACTCAGTTTGGGCCAAGGACACTAGGCCAAGCCTACCATGCTGAAAGCACATTAGGTAGCTGTCCAGGTGAAAGAAATGCCCAAGTTTACATCTGCCTGCAGGTAGTTTGGCTCCCAATTGCTTCAAAATCAGGAAAATACCTGCTGCAGAACAGGATGGCTCAAGTGTGGATCCCTGCCTTTACAAAATCAGTTACAGGGTTAAAACCCGGGGACTGCAGCTTCCATGTCATCTGGAAACACCAGAAAAATGCTACCACTTCTAAGCCAAAATTTCATTGCAAAAAGACAATTTGGCTGTCAGGCAACATAATTTGAGACAGTTGACTTAGAGCTCTGAAAGAACTTGAAAATTTAACTGCCATTTCCAGATTTCAAACTCAAATTTCCAGACATCAGTTTTGCCCCACTAATGCACGTCCTATCTGAATAGGGTAACACACACAATGTCTGCATGGTTGGTTTTTCCATGTCATATGATTTAGCAAGTTCAAATCATGTACAAAAACAAGAGAGGTTTTCTGAGTCCCAGTCATAAACAGCATCTTACCAGGCTCCAGAAGAGACACAGTTAAGCCCCAAAGCTTTGTCTTGGCTTAAAGAGAGATTTTTTATTTTTTTTTGGTGCTGTTCAGATTAGAAAATCATGTCTCTCAGCTCAGATCCTGAAAGATCCCTTTTGATATTGGACTTTACACATGGCACAAGGGTGCTTTAGGATTAAAATTAGTAAGTACTGACAGCAACAAGCTGAAAGCCAGGTAAGATCACGGTCAGAAGATGTGATAAGTGACTATGACTGTGTTCATAAAAATGATAAGGCTGTCTTCTCAGAAGTACAGGTGAGGGAGATTTAATCAACATGTTACTTACGGCAGAGTGCATCACTTTTGGTGAGCTTCTTTTCGTAAGGAAGCCTTTTATGGTCAGTTTTTGACAAGACCTATTGCCTGGTCTCATGAAAAACTCCCACCAAAAATATGAAGTTTTGCTACAGCTGTTCATTTAGTACCAAGTGATATAAGCACAAGACTGGTCACAGCAGTCAAATGTCACTGTACAGGATATGGATATAAGGATTTGGTTCTTTCAGAAAGACCATGTGCCCAAATCCATGACCAGCCAGCATCAGCAACAGCATCTGAAGTCTCATCTCACTCCTCAGAAAAGCAGAGGACACCTTGTACAGCAGGCAGTGAATCAATACCATATCACAATGATTAGACAGTTTTGGTGGCTGCTTCTTGTAAACAATGTAAAAAGAGTTTAATTCAGCAATGTAAATTAAAAGATCTAAATGTGCTATGAAAAGACTCTACAGATCCATTACCTGTGCAATTGCCACTTGACTGACATTCAATTTTGGCTTCACGCCACCTTCGTAATGTTGATCTGCAGAAGAAAGAGTGTTATCAGCATTATAAGTATATTATAAACACCCAGTCATTTATAAAGGCATAATTTTTGCACGTTCTTATGCAAACAATAATTATCCCTGCACAAAATGTGTATGTGAGAATAGCTGATTCTGTCTTGGAAAATACTTGACTTGTTCCAAATATTACCTTCATTACATGTATTTTCTAGTTTACCTTACTCGTTCAACAAGGTTCCTCTTCTTTTCATTGAACATCTGGAAGGAACTCCAGTGCCCCAAAATTACAAGATTCAGTCTACATCTGCATTTATTCATCTCAAACACAGCAAAAGCTGCTTGTTTTCTTCGTACAGCAAACTCTGTCATCAAAGAGTGTGTGCTGAATTGAACAACAAAAGCGTCTTAATTGTGAGTGGGAAGTTCTTTCCCTGCACCACCAGAGATAGGAAGATGTGACAAACAATCTGATGGCCCAACTGCTTGCCAGGAGAGCGAAGTTTCACAAGGACAGGTCATTTCATGGACATTCTCAAAGCTCTATCCTTCAAACATTTAATCCTGTTTTCATTTGGTTAGAAAGAGTGAATGCTTCTGTCTTCCCCATTCTCTCTGCATCTGAGTTGGACAGCAAATTAGTATTTTAAAACAGGCAAATCCTTTAAAGGGTGTTTTTTAAGGGAGGATATGCTTTAACAACACATGTGACAGAAGAGTCACTAAGGCCAGCAGAAGCAACATCTGGGAATAAAATCTTTTACAGCCACACTAACAGAACTAGTATCTAGGAGTTCAGCCCACTGAAAGGCTTACCATTTCTCTGCAGAGAATCTTGATCTGAGAATTCATGTGAACTAGAAGAGAGGAGAAAAATACTTATTTTACAGCATCTGTATTTAAAGTCTGCAGCAAGTTTACTGGGGACAACACCTATTACTACTTTGTTCCATAAAACATTCAAAATGTAACGCAGGCCCTTGGCTTGGTAATATAACAGGAACAAGGCAAATTAATCCAAAGCTGCTGAGCCCAGGCTAAAAATGCCTAATTTCAGAGATCCCTTCGGTGGATTAGCCCTGACAGGCTTTCCCATACCCTTATCACATTGACAAAAGGCTTCTCTCTTGTCCTGTTATCTCTTGTCCTGTTCCATGGTACACCAGTTCTGGGTTGGAGACAGAATCAGTTCCAGCCAACAGGCAGAGGAACACAAGCACCCTGCACCACCCTTGTTCCACAGTGAGAGTCAGAAGCAACACATTTAATTCCCTCAGGATAGATCATATGCAATGGGCTAACATGTCTTAAGCCCAGAATTACAGCCATTTGAAGACAGCTCCTGAACAGTTCCAAGCAATACCAAATGTCACAGAGTCAACTGCAAGGTAGGGTGTGGGCAAAGCACATCTAAAATGTCAACTACCAGGCTCATGAAATTTTCAACATTTGATGTTCTTCTTAGTGTAAATCTCCAGCTGCTGGGGTCAGACCTGCCCCACAGCCACTAAACATGGAAATACATTTCCATCTTCTTCCCTCGCCTTGTTTCCTGCTGCTTTTCCAACCCACCACAGAAGCAAAATTCTTGAAAATATATACCTCAAGATCAGCATATAAAGACTAGGAAAAAGACCAGTTTTCAGTATTTGTGAGCAAATTGTACTGTAAAGTATTGGAATTGCAAAGTCAAGACTTGGCATTCCTGGGGAGTCTCTGGACAGCTGGGTGAATTCACTCCCCGCCAGATTCTGGGTAGGGGGATCTGTGTTACCCACTAGCAGGAGTGATCCCAACCTAATTTCCATCACACCTTCCTTAATGGCAGATAAATACGAGTCCAAACAACATGGGATGGCACAGAGCCCACCCTGCTTTCTGTCAAGCTGGAAGAACCTTATAAAGATCTTATGTTAAAAAAACATCTCTGTGGGTGACACTGTTTAAAATTAATCTGGCGGGTTTATTTACAGGTTTATTCATTCAACTTTCAGAGTGGGTACCACTTTCTCCCAGTGCTCTTTGGGTGCCAGGGTTCGTCCTGGAATCAAGATGTTGGAAGCTGCTCATGCCAACAGCTCTCAGAGATGGGTGGAGATACTAGATTTTGACACACAGGTAACAAAAGATGTGGCCACAATGGACCAAACCTTGCTTTCTTGCTCAGATAAAACTCTCTCTTGGGTTGTTTTACGATTAGGAACATTTTTGTAATTTGATGCATCCCTTTTTGTCTTTTCTAGTCTTTTTTCATGACAGATCGTGCCTTTGGGCTGGAACAGGCAAATGTGGGAGAATTTTTTGCATGGTGAGAGCTACAAAAACGAGGCTCGCCAAAAGGAAACTAATGAAAATTATTTAGTTATACTAACTTTAGTTATATTTACTTGTACTGTACCTATGTATATCTAGTTATGCTTAGTTATACTTTTAACTCCTCCCTATATGCATAGTTGAACTCCCATAGCTCATTCCTCCAGTTTGGAAATCATAAACTAAAACACTGGAGTGGGAGAAGATTGGTGTAAAATTGTGCAATTCATTTCATTCCTGAACTGGACTTAAAAGGTTTTCATGCTGCTCTGGGAAGAGGAAGGTTTAATTTGGGGGTTGTGATTAAAAAAATCTAAATAACTCCTGGTTGCTCCACATCCCACAGCCACTCTGGAATCATAGAATCATAGAATCAGCTGGGTTGGAAGGGACCTCTGCGATCACCAAGTCCAACCCTTGATCCACTACCACTGCGGTTACTAGACCATGGCATTAAGTGCCACATCCAGTCTCTTTTTAAAAATTTCCAGGGATGGAGAATCCACCACTTCCCTGGGCAGCCTATTCCAATGTCTGACCATCCTCTCTGTAAAGAAATTCTTTCTAATATCCAACCTAAACCTCCCCTTGAGACCATGCCCTCTTATCTTGCTGATAGTTGTCTGGGAAAAGAGACTGACACCCACCTGGCTACGACCTCCTTTCAGGGAGTTGTAGAGAGTGAGGAGGTCTCCCCTGAGCCTCCTCTTCTCCAGGCTGAACAGCCCCAGCTCCCTCAGCCTCTCCTCATAGGACTTGTGCTTGAGTCCCTTCACCAGCCTAGTTGCCCTCCTCTGGACCTGCTCCAGCACCTCAATATCCTTCCTGAACTGAGGGGCCCAGAACTGGACACAGCACTCCAGGTGTGGCCTCACCAGCGCTGAGTACAGGAAGAGACATCGAGTCTCTGTTTTTAGCATGAAGATACTGACACAGATGAATGTGCACAGCTGATGAAATATTCATGTTTTCATGAGGAAATGCAGCACAGAGAGTGACCCGGGAACCACCATGAAGAGCCACAGCATGACAGACATCATAAGGCTGCAAGGGAAGCACCTCTTGCTTAGTCCTCCTGTTAATTACTCTGTTAATTAGCAGTCCTTTCCTCCTGCACAATGCATGGAGCTCTGTCAGAGGAAGGAAATCCATCATTCCACATCACTGGGGCACAGCCGGTCTGTGGCTGGCAGAGCCAAGGATCACGTCCTGGTGTCTGGGCAAGCCCAGGCTGCTGTCGATGTTATGGGATCTGTCAGCTGCTTCTGACACCCACAGCCCCGAGGTGTCATGGGTTTGTGATCCATGACAGGGATGGGTGGCTGCCCATGTTCATCATGATGTCACATCAGCAGCTTTCCCAAGGAAAAGGCAAGCTGGGGAATTCACAAGCGATCCCTGGCACCCAAAGCCCTTTCATCCTCAGCTAGAGCACGTTTCACAGAACAGAAGTATTGAAGGCAAAAAATGCAAAAATTTTTTAAAAATACATATTCCCTTTTAATTATAAAATGTTCATTACATGTACAAGAGATAGGAAACTAGCTAGCATTTACTCTCCATTGCAAAACTGACAGCAAATAATTTTTAGCACACTGAATTAAAGAATAGCTTTTCAAATTTATCATTTTTTTAATCAGACACTCTTACCGTGACACTTCAAATTCAACTGCTCACAGGGTATACATTTCAATATTTTTCCTTAGCAATTCGTAAATAACTGGCCCAGATAACACCTAGGCATGTAGGTTGTATGTTGAATTTACCACACCAAGTATGTTAGGAACCCACATGAAATTGGATTAGCCCTAATACAAAGCACTGGAATGACTAATCACTATGTAAAACCCAATTAAATAAGATTATAAGCATAAAGAAGTGTAAATTCCCTCTTATCAGATGACATTATCCATCTACATAAGATAACCAAGTCTGGCTTGTTTGTCCAAAAAAGTTTATAAAGACTCCAGCTCTTGAGGACTTCCACATAAACAATGTTTTCTCTGCTCAGATGAGCCACAGGAATAATCCTGGTACTCAACACTGGTTGAGTGTGGACGCCACAGGAAGTTTTCATGTCATATTCACTCTTTTACTCTTCATATTACTGCTCTGATAAACTGCACCAGATGGGAAAATGTACTCCACCTCTAAAGAAACAGTATTTCTATTACTTCAGAGTCATCTTTCTAATACTAATATTGCCCAGCTGCAGAATTCCTTACTGGCTGCTGAACTAGTTTCAGCTAATTTATGAGGCATTTAATTGGAAAATAACATGTGAACATTCAAATGCGCTAAAAACAAAGTCATGACAAAAGGTGACAAGCACCTGGTGGCAATGCACTGGTTGTGCAAGGGACACTTGCCATAGGGAATTTCAAGGAAGTTATGGACATTATAAATGTGTAAACCTGGGACACCATGTTCAGGGAAAGAGCTAGTCTCCTCTAAGAAGAATCCTGGCAAAAAAATGTTACTGAGTTTTAAATGCCTCTGTGTAAGTACTATCAACCAGAAATATCTACAAAACCACACAACTCTTACAGTTTTCTAATCTGAGTTTTGACACAGGGAGACAGATTTACATAACTATTTTACAATGCACTGATTACTGGGTTTGATCTGCAGTTTAATGGATGCCCAGCTAGGACCAGATCAGAACAAGATACTTAAGCTTTCTTTTTTGATACAAAAAAACCCAAACCTCTGAGGTCATAGAACCTAGCAAATTAACACTGTGCATGCACAATCTCACCTCCAATGAGGCAAAATCCCCATTTAATTCACTGGGATCCAGGTCACAACTTCTTCTGTTAATACTTATTGTAAAAAAGTTCACTGTAAAAAAATGCTCCTCTGCTTGCTCTCTCTCAGATTCTGGTCTGGTTGCAAAAAAAAGAATGCAGAATTATGCTAAGAGGAACAGTGAGGGAGCTGAAAACTGGCAGAGGAGAACAGCAAGTGAGCTATTTAGATGAAAACATATTGTAGTATTTATCGGTAACTGACTACCAGATCTCTTAATACAAGCTTAAGCAAATTACCACATGTCCTTCTTGCCTCAAATGAACAGATTTTACTGCCAGCTGCAACCTCCATCAGCATATTTGTTCTGTGTGTTACTGGTGACTCCGGGCACGATTCAACTCATACAGCTCAGGTTGTTTTCACTTTCATAATACTTGGCTGTATGAAGTCCCCTCTTTCCCCTGCTATGATTTGGGCTTATTACTTGTATTTCATTAGAGAGTGAAACATCACTATTGACAATAAACGCAAATCTCCAGTAATTTTGTAAGTTCCTTTGCAATATTGAATTCACACTTAAAATATCCATTCTACACCACTAGAATATTTTAGCATCTTAGTTTTCACACCCTTGCTGTTATTCTATTTATAACTTCATTTTCACACAGACCAGGGAAAGTCAGTATGAGAGTCATTAAAATGTAATGAAATGTAAGATAGATGCACAGAAACCACTCATTTTAAAGCCACGTTTATAAAATTGCTTTAATGTTACATATTTAATTCACCCTGTGTTTCAAAATAATTAATTTCTGTATTACCCCTAGGTGCTTTTAAACCTGAAAGGAAATTACAACCACGTCCTGACACTCCAAACTGCGACTGAATCTACTTCCATAGAGCACAAATGACAGCATTTAAAACCTGGGCTCGCTCAAGTTTGTCACCACACACCCAGTCACTGACCTGTTCCCTGACGTCACAGTCGTTTGGTCCACGGACACCCCGGATCCCACACACAGGAACAGCAGTAAGAACCTCAGGGCAGCGTTTCCTTCCATTGGGAAGGGAGGCAGTGGCTCCACACGCGGCACATCTGCGGCTCTGGTCCAGCTCTGCCGCGTGATGGGGGAGGATCCACCACCGGAGAAATCCTCCGTGTGCTGGGATTTCTCCCCAAGGCAAACACCTGGCACGTTCCAGCTGCCCTGTGAATGAATGAGCACACAGCCCGGGGAAAGTGCACCAGGACTGAGCTGCTCGTTAAGAAAAAAAAAAGAATACAATCAGATGGGCTCTGAAATCACACTGCAGAGCATTCCTCATCTGTACTTAACCCTCGCCTCAGAGAAAGGGTAAGGTGCTGCCTGTGATAATCAGAGGAAGAACTACATGTATTTTCAAGACTTACAATACCTTATATTAGTAACCATACAGATGTGAAGGCATATATTGCAAGCTTTGAAGTCAAACATTTGGAAGCAATTTTCTTTTCTTCAGCACTATTTCAGTTTGTGTGTGTGTTTAGCTTTCTGGCTCAGTTGTTTTTATACTCAGAACCACAAAATGGTTTGGGTTGTGAGGAACCTTAAAGATCACCTCATTCCAAAACCCTTAAATATCAGGCAGGACACAGTCATATACCAATCTATAGGTATATATATACCCAGACATCTACTTCTTCCTTGCTACCTGCTGATGTGATCACCACTGAAGCCTCACTTTGCTAACTAGGAGTTCCTGTCTGTTGCTTTCCAGATATCAGAAAAAGATTGGGGCTTTAGCATCATAGCTATTAGGAAGGATTTGCCATCTTAATTCATTTCTCCCTCTGGGATACAGAGGGTATATCCGCTAATCTTAAAAACCTCCCAGCAGCTTGTCCTCAGCAGTACTGCTTCTATCCAATTTAAGAAGGAATAAAGATACTTATGTGAGAATCCTAGATTGAAAAATGGGATGAGGGAATGTGGGATTAAGCAAGAACCACCTGAAAATAACCTCCAGATTTTCTGTGAAGTACCATGAATGTATGATGCTAAACTTTGAACAGTTACTCCAGTAAGGAGACAGGGCTCAGAGGAAAATTTCAAGAGGCAGAAGTGTCACACACTCCTAAAAACTGTGAAGTCATTGATGTCACAGTCCTGTTCAATGCTTCAGTACTCCTCACTCCTAAATAAGTGGGGGGAAAAGGCACTCGTCATCAACAAAATGAAAAATAATGTCAGTTTGCTCAGAACCAAAGGAGGGATTTGCAGACAATCAAGAAAACAAGTAACACCAAACTGCTAACAAAGGTTAAACCAGAATAAATCAGTGGAAAATATACTGATTTCCTCAGTAAACATTAATCATCATTATCATGGCTGGGCTTCGCGAACAAAGATTTGGGAAGGACTCTACCCACATTTGCTACAAGCACGCTGGTGGCTAAAAAGGCCAATACGAGACAGACATGTCCGGTTGCAAAAGGCACAGCAGAAAGACTCCTTAGGTGGTATATTCTGCAAGACACGATTCTTTCTGTGTTGTCTTTTCTCCTTGAGAATGATCTTGCGTGCGTTCTCAAAGGCATCAGCAGCATTATGGATAGTGTGTCTCCAGACCTCCGGATTGGAGGCCAGAATAGACCAGCGACGAAGATCAGTGTTGCCAAGGCTGAGATGTTGTTTCAGGGAGTCCTTGTATCTTCTCTTTGGGGCTCCTCTCTTGCGGCAGCCGGTGGCAAGTTCACCATAGAGCAGGATCTTAGGGAGGCGGTGGTCCTTCATCCTGGAGACGTGTCCTGCCCAATGCAGCTGTGTTCTCAGCAACATGGCCTCTATACTTGTGACAGCTGCTTGTTCTAGAACAGATGTATTGGTTACATAATCTGACCAGTGGATGTTTAGGATTGTATGGAGACAGAGTTGATGGAAGCATTCTAGGAGACGCAGGTGGTGGCGGTGAATGACCCACGATTCAGATCCATATAAAAGAGTAGAGAGCACAATGGCTCTGTAAACACTGATCTTTGTGCTTTTCTTCAGGTGTTTATTTCGCCAAACTCTTATACGGAACTTTCCAAAAACTCTCTATGCCTTTTCTAACCTGTTGTCTATCTCTCCATCAATCTTACCATCCGAGGAGATGATGCTATCTAGGTAATTAAACTGCTGGACTGATTTGATCTCTGATTCGCCAATGGTGACATGGGGAAGACTTCCTGAGATGCAGGTTGAATACATTAATACAATGGGTGCTGATAGTAAATCATTCATCAGCAATCTTCTGAAATAATGGTAGAAGGAAAGAAAAGTCTTTTCTTGCCTCTTGACACTTGCCAATAATAATAATAGCAACAATAATATTAAACATTTGATACAGTTCTTAAAGATGCTCACCACCCTGTCACCCAGCCCAGAACACTGAGTGCCACGTCCTTGGACACCTCCAGGGATGAGGACTCTCCCAACTCCCTGGGCAGCCCCTTCCAATGCCTGACCATCTTTCCAGGACAAAATTCCTCCTGACCTTCCCTTGGCACAGCTTGAGGCCGTTTCCTCTTGTCCTGTCACCACAGTTAAGTTTACAGCCTACAATGGCAGGCTATGGCAGGCTAAAAGGGGCCAGTATTCCACATAAGAGGATTAAACTGCTGTTTGTCACCTTTTTTTCCCCCTCACTTTGCAAGGATATTTTGCTTCTGATTACTCCTCATGCAAAACTCCTCCTTTGATGATTAGGCAGCAAGGTATCATTTCTTTGTTGTTCATTTAGCACTGAGGCAGCTCAGACATTTCCTCCAGCAAGAAGGAGGCACAGCAGATCTTACTGTACTTTAAACACTGCTCCTTTTTTTGGGATCTACCTCTCAGAAAAGATAATTATACTCACTTCAAAGTGATTATATTCAGCATGGAGGCTCACAGCTTGGTGAAGGTTGTGAGCATTTGCTCTTCGGGCACACAAACTCTTTTCCAGCGGTTTGTAATCACCTTCAGCTCACATGTCAGGCCACCATGAGCTGAGCAGCTTTCTATATTAACATGTCTCAAGCAACATGTGAGTTATCAGACACCTTACAAGTGTCAGCACTGAATGTATCACTCACCTTTTCAGTCTGAGTCATCGTTGTTCCTCTGATTCAGACGTATTCACAGAGCACTGACAGTGCAACAGAACCGTGGTCAGAAAATTCACCTTAAAACATAAAGCTTTTCTCAGCTCGAACAAAATCCTCTCTCCGGGCAACTGACTGGGCCAAAAAGCCTTTCAGCTTTCTTCTTGGGTGGGATGCAGAAATTAATCCTGTTAAAATTCCTTCCTGCTTCCCTGTGAGGGTGGAGAGGCCCTGGCAAAGGTTGCTCAGAGAAGCTGTAGCTGCCCCATCCCTGGAAGTGTCCAAGGCCAGGTTGGATGGGGCTTGGAGCAACCCGTGATAATGGAAGGTGTCCCTGCCCATGGCTTTAAGGTCCCTTCCAACCCAAATAATTCTGAGATTCTAATTCCCTTCTATTCCCTGTGCCCTTCACAATATCCCCAAAGGATTCCATCCTAGTCTGAGAAACCTCCATACAGACTCCAGGCCTAACTTCACCTTCAAGGAAGGCACAGGGGGAAAACTGCCCAAAAAAAAAAAAAAAAAAAAAAAAAACCACACAAACGAAAAGCTCAGTCTGTTCAGGACTCAGCTGTTTTTCGTCATGCAGTACCCCAGGACACCAGGTATCAGATCCCACAGGGAAGATCAGATTATACTGAGAGTTTTAAGATAAGTGGTGGGATTTTTGGTGGATTTATCTGCTTGGCCAACTGAAACATTTAATTTTAGAAGTGCTTATCCAGCAGTGCTGGTGTTCTCCAGAGCAAACAGCCCTTTTCCACACAGCTGCCCACAGATAACCTCGTTTCAACCCCCTACCATGGGCAGGGACACCTTCCAGGGACATGTCTTGTGGCCACCTGTGCCAGCACATCTCAGCCATTGTGTTTAACTATTACTGTTATTGTTGTTATTATATTAGTGTTAGTATTATTAATAGTTATTACTGTTGTTGTTGTTGTTATTATTAAGAACCACAACAACTTTATTTCGATTATTAAACTGCTCTTATCTCAACCCACAGGTCTTTTTTGTCCAAATTCACTCCCCATCCCACCAGGACGGGCAGGGCAGTGAGCAAGAGGCTGCGTGGTATTTAATTACCATCTGGGGTTAAACCAGAACATGGTGGAATGAAGAAAAGGTGTCTTAAAAGTGCCCCAAAGTCCTCATAAAGTTTAAAATACATCATTTTCCTTCCTTCCAGTCAGCTTTTAAGTATTCCTAATATTCCTAACACTGAAAAGCAAAGCTGCAGCATTTTTACAATATAAACTTCCTTGTTTTGAAAATCACCAAACAGCAACAGCATTCCGACATTGGAACTGCTTCTTCAAGAGCTGCTCTTTATAATAGTAATGTTTTCTCCTAAAATTGTTGGTGGGCTTTACAGTTTTTGTTTGGTGTTGGTGGGTTTCTTTTTTTCTTTGAGGGGAGTGTGTGTTGGGGGGTGGTTTTCATTTTTTTTAATTAGTTATTCTATACAGATTGCATGTAAAACCAGTCCTACCTGAACACACAAAATATGTATTTTCTATTTAAGCTGTGAGCACAGGATGTTTTAATAAAGATGTATTAAGGTCTAATTGCTGTCCCTTCACAGTAATTCCAAAAAGGGGAAGGAATGTTCAGGACTCAGATTGCTGCAGTTTGGCAGCATGGACTACCAGCAACTTTCAAAATCAGTACATATGAGCTGGTTTATGTTATAGGACTTCACTTTGGTGCAGATCCACCGGAGGACTCACAGGCAATGCAGCATTTTAAGCTGGGATGCCCCATCCCTGGAAGTGTCCAAGGCCAGGTTGGAGCAACCTGGGATAGTGAAAGGTGTCCCTGCCCATGGCAGAGGGTGGGACTGATAGGTCTGAGGTCCTTCCAACCCAGACCATTCTGGGAATCTATGAAAAGCTGGAAATAAGACTCATAGAGTCATTTAGGCTGGAAAAGCACTCTCAGACCACTGACTCCTACCATTCCTCAGCACTGCCAAGGCGACCACTAACCCACGTCCCCAAGTGCCACATCCACAAGGCTTTCAAATCCCTCCAGGGATAGGGACTCTCCCCCTGCTCTGGGCAGCTGTGCTAGGGATAGACAACCCAATATCCCACCTAAACCTCCCCTGGTGCAACTTGAGGACATTTCCCCTTGTCCTGTTGCTTTTTACCTGCAAGGAGACTCTGACTCCCACGTCATGGTGGTCTTTTCAGGCAGAGATCAATCATCAGCAGTCCCTCTCTGTGGGTCGGACACTGGTTCCCCTGGTACAGCGAACAAGATAAAACCAGGCCCAACCTCGACTCGTCCTTGTGAGCAAGTAAGGACAAAACAAGCTGTGGTACCATCCCAAACGACCACTAGAGACCCCATCCCGAACATGTGCAATAAGCCCCATGCAATTAATTAATTAGCATATCGATAAGGCCTTTTGGAACAGGCGTGAACTCCTGAGACTGTAAACACATATTCATGGAACAAATTATACATAAGCTGCAGAAATGCATCTCGGTGTGGACGACAGGCAGGGAGGTGCCCCCGGGGATAAAGTAATGATTTTTTTTAAGCTCAGACTGGTCTCAAAGTTTTCTCTCCCGGTTCTAGGTCAAAACGGGACTCGAACGCCGCGGGAAGGGAGAGGCAAGTCGTGCCCGTCCGCCCGATTGGGTGTAGAACCCGCGGCCTCCACCTCCGTCCGGGCCGCCCGCCACGGTGCCGGTCGGCGTGTTTCCGTCAGGCGCGGCGCGGGCAGCCCGCGGCAGGTCCTAGCGGGCGCGGCTATAGGCGGCGGTCGCGGACCTCCCTCCCTCTTTTCTCGCTCGGCAGCTGCAGAGAGAGGATGGGTAAGCGCGGGGAGCGTGGCCGAGGCTGCGGGCGGACTTGGGGCTGGGTTTGGGGCTGCGGGATCCCAGGGAGGGTCTGCGGGGCTCTGCACTCCCCGCCCGCCCGCAGCCGAGTGGGTGCTGTGCGGGCAGCGCTGAGGGCGGTGGGGCCGCGGCCGCCATTACCCGCCGCATGTCCGCCACTGCGTCACACGGCCTGGCTCGCCTCACCCTCCTTCTCACCATCCTCCCTTCTCCTCACCTCCTGCAGGGAAGTGCCGAGGCCTCCGCACGGCTCGGAAGCTGCGCAGCCACCGCCGCGACCAGAAGTGGCACGACAAGCAATACAAGAAGGCGCACCTGGGCACGGCATTGAAGGCCAACCCCTTCGGCGGCGCCTCCCACGCTAAGGGCATCGTCCTCGAGAAAGTGTGGGTGCACAAACGGGCTCGGGGTCCACAGCCTCTAGGATGGGGGTACAGAGTCTCTGGGATAAGGATCCAGCATCCTGGAATTGGGCGCTGAGACCCCTGGGATGGGGCTCTAGAACCCCCTGGATGCAGCTCCTGTCCTGAGATGGGGAAAAACCAGAATTAATTTATGTTTAATTTTAAGAATTAGAGGAAAAACGGGAATTTCTTTCAAAAATTGGTAAAAAATAGGGATAGTAAACAAAAATTAAAGGGAAAATATGTTTTTATTGGAAAGAATTGGAGAAAAAAATTAGAATTTTCCCAGAAGTGGGGGGAAATGGGGAACTTAGTCAAAGCTTAAAGAAAAAGCGCCTTTTTTCATAAATTGAGAAAAATCAGGGTTTTGGCACAACATTAAGAAAAACTGCATGTTTTGTGTCAAAGATCCTACCTACTTCTGGGAGATTTTTTTGCCTTTAATAATTTGAAGCCTCATGGGGTTGCTGCAAGTGCTCTCTTTTTTGACCAAAAAAAGTTTTTGGGAGGTTTTCCCCTCTTATGCTTTTTCAGGATTTTACTGAATTAGTATTAGTCTGTAGGTGATTAAAATTTTACTCTACATAGGAAGTGGTGGTCTGTATATTGATATATGTTAAATATATTTTTTATAGATAATACATTATATAATGATATATGGAGTTTTTATATAGTCATTCTATATTCATATATTGAGTGGCTGTAACCAGCTCAGAGTTTCTGAAGTACAGAATCAGCTTACACTGAACACAAAGGAAAACAGTAACTTGTGGGTGTGTAACAAACCTTCTGGTCCATCAAACATGGAGTTTTTCTGACTTATTTCCATTGCAGTGGAGTAGAAGCCAAGCAGCCCAACTCTGCCATCAGGAAATGTGTCAGGGTCCAGCTGATTAAGAATGGCAAAAAAATCACAGCCTTTGTCCCCAATGATGGCTGCCTGAACTTCATTGAGGTAATTCATTTAGAAGTTTTATTTTGCAGTGGAAAATAAAAGACATTTACTCTGTTAATTCTCATTTAATGTGTGCAAGTTTGCTCTGGGGTGGTTAGACAAGGGCAGTGTGGAGCGTAGCCCAAATTGAGGGTGGTTAATCCCAGATTTGTGCACGGATCTTGACATTTGTGCTCCCCATGTCCCGGTTTTGGTTTTTGCAGGAGAACGATGAGGTGCTGGTGGCTGGGTTCGGGCGCAAGGGCCATGCCGTTGGGGACATCCCAGGGGTCCGCTTCAAGGTGGTCAAGGTGGCCAATGTGTCCCTGCTGGCGTTGTACAAGGGCAAGAAGGAGAGACCAAGATCATAAACCCATGTCTTGACAAGATGGTCAATAAAAAATCCTTTGTTCTGAATGACTTCTGTGCTTCTTACTGAGGGGGGGGCTGGAGTCAGTCATAAAACTCTACCCATAGAAAACAAAATTATATTTATTTCTACATCTGGCCAAAAAAACCCACCCCAAACCCTGATGTTTCTCTGGGACTACTGAATTCATCAGGAATCAAAACATCCCTTGGAGCAAGCTGGGAGGGAGGAGAAACTCCATGAATTTTAATGCATAATTGTGAAAAATGTGAGCCTTCCCCATATCAAAAATGGTCACTGGGAGTGCTAGAAATGGTGTTCGTGGCAGCAGTTCTGGTCCCTGGTGTGAACAGAGACAGAACTTGCTAGGTTTGAGTCCTGAAGGGATTATTGAATCACACATCCAGCCTTGGCCCACACAATTTCGCCCAGTGTTGAGCACAAATTAACAGGTTTTTTTAGACAAGGCTGCCCGATTTTAAGGCACCCATTCAGTGCACTCTCAACATGTTACTGCTGTGCAGTCGGGTGTCGTGAGCTGAGCTTTCTGCCTTCTTACTTAGACAAAATACATAAAAACCATTTTTGGGGTTTTTTTTCAGTGCAGTAAAGCCTCAAAATATGTGACTGAAGTCAGAGTGAACAATTCTGTTGTTGCCATCACAGTTCATCTGTGTATTAACCAAAAGGTTCAATTGCTTCAATTAGTGTTCATTTATATAGAAATTTATATGAAAATTCAATAACTCCATGAAAATGGAGTAACAATCTAAGAACAGGTTCAGGGTCTTTGCTGACATCTGTGTAGCAAAAGGGCTGCCAGTAAAATTCCTTGGCGGGGGGAACAGGATGGTCACTGTCAACTCTTCTTCCAAAGAGGAAGATTCAAAGGGAGCTAGAGCAGCTTCCCAAAGTCGGTCGCTGTCATGATGTCATGTCGCCACTAGATGTCGCGACTGGTACAAGGAGGGGAAAAGCCAAAACCGAAAAAGGTTTGAGCTAAAAAAGTTGTGGACTTGGAACAAAGGAAATCTTCAAAATCGGGAAATTCACCGTGTGCACACCCAAACTGCGGCTCCACAGAGGAAAGAGAGGTTTTGGGGTGAACTCACCTGGAATCCTGGGGCAGGAACAGGGAAGAGAAGACCATTGGTTGAATTTGGGTCTTTTTCTCTGTTGTTTTTTTTAAACAAAATTCAACCAAATCCAGCTCTCATGCCCTGTGGAGCCACAGCCACAAAGGCGAGTTTTCCAGCTGGAAGATTTCCTTGGTGCTGGTGGGGGAGAGGCTGGACACAGCCCAGCACAGACCCCCCCCATGCCCTGGCCTGATCCCACAGCGGGGGCAGCAGGGCAGGAGGGGATCCTGCCCCTCTGCCCCCTCAGGTGAAACCCCACCCTGCAGAGCTGCCTCCAGCCCTGGGGGCCCAGCACAGCAAGGACATGGAGCTGCTGGAGCAAGTCCAGAGGAGATGCCAAGATGATCAGAGGGATGGAGCAGCTCTGCTGTGAGGAAAGGCTGGGAGAGTTGGGATTGTTCAGCCTGGAGAACAGAAGCTTTGGGGTGACCTTACAGTGCCTAAAGTGGCTAAGGAACATGGAGACTGTTTACAAGGGCCTGGAGTGACAGGACAAAGGGGAATGGCTTCCAACTGTCAGAGGGCAGGATTAGATGGGATATTGGAAGGAATTCTTCCCTGTGAGGGTGGGGAGGCCCTGGCAAAGGTTGCCCAGAGAAGCTGTGGCTGCCCCATCCCTGGAAGTGTCCAAGGCCAGGTTGGACAGGGCTTGGAGAAACCTAGGATAGTGGGAGGTGTCCCTGCCCATGGCAGGGGGTGGGACTGGATGAGTTTTAAGGTCCCTTCCAACCCAAACCAGCCTGGGATTCTGTGATTGTTTCAGTGCTCAGGAATAAGTTGTGTTGTCTGGACACTGCAGAAAGAAGTCAGAGGAAGATGAGCTGAGCAAAACCTCATCATCACGTCACTATTAGAGGGGTTTTAGGTTACATAACCCATATCCTCCAAAACGGAGAGGAATCCATCCATAAAGATCAGAGAAGACAAACAACTCATGCAATAGACACCGCTGTCCCCATTCCTTCTTCATCAGCAAAGCTAATTAATATTTTCTAATAATAAAGCAGTTGAATAATCATTTGACACTAGCAATACCTGACTGAAAAATAACATTACTGCAGGAAAAGATGCAGTTTTCCAACAGGCTTGAAGAAAAAGAAGGTGTCCTCTAAATCCATCCTCTGCTCAAACACAGCAGTAAAATCCTATCTTGCCTTAAGCTGAATTCATCTTCAGTAGGTGACACCTACAACAAGCTCTGAAGTAGTGGAGAGAAAGATTTCTCATGGTTCAGGATTTTTTAAGATTTTAATATAATCCAGAACACAGAGATAACAGGTATGACACCTTCCTGAGCACTTAATATAGGGTTAGTTTTGCAGCTGTGAGCTTCAGGTAGGGGTTTTTTTAATTCCAGGTGGTAAGAATTTACTGCTAAGAAATACTCTAAACTCACTGAAACACTTTTAAAGCCCATGTTACTAAAAACAGGCACAGATACTCATACACACACTGTTCTCTAGAAGAGAGAATTTTTGAGGAAAAAATTTTAAATTCACCGTTCAGAGGAAAGAGCAAACATCCTTTCTTTGTGCTGGAATTGAATTTACATGTATGTAATATAAACACAGATGTCCAAACAAACTCATGAAACCATCACCACAGCAAACAGGGAGGAAAAAAGTTACTGAGACAGCTTTGGTGAAATTCATGGAGTTGCAACAAGAATTGATTACATCACTGTACTTAGCTGTAACTAACTAGTTTAACATTTACTGCATGGAAAGGAATGTTCCTGTTAGTAACCAAAACCAACCAACCTCAAACCTCCTGGCAGGAGGTTGAATTCTTGTCATGCTGACACAAATGAAGGATTATGTAGGTAAGTGAGCAGCTGCATTACACAGGAAAGCACATTTTTTGGCTTAAGTGAATACATAAAAATAATAATTCTTGCTGATTCCTGTAACCAAGGGTTACAAGAGTCTGTTCTCTTAAAAGAAGTCCCCAGAAGCAAAGGTTCTCAATGTATCTTCCCAGATTAGCAAAGATGAGCAACTGAGCAAATGTACAAAACTCTCTGGAACTGGAAATTTTCATAAGCAGATAATGCATGTAGACAAAACCCAAGTTCAGATGTAAGAATATTCAGCAGATTTGCTAAAATCACAAAATAGTGCCACAATTCACTTGATTTAAAAAATTTTAAAAAATCAGAATTTTGGTACACAAAAATTCTGTTAAAAATATCCTAAGTCATCAAAGCATAAATGTAAAACGGTAAATTGGGTCCCTACCTACCAATTACCTACTTCAGCCATTAAAAAGGAGACATCCAAACAGGATCTCTTCTCGATCACAAATATTTATGTTATCCTGTATTTCTTCCTCTATCTAAGCTCAGTGTATCTGTAACTGAGCTGAATTTTGGTTTTCTAGGGAAATTTCAGAGAAACATTGCTGATGATGATGACATTGCTCTGTTACCTTGTTGTTTATGCTGTTAAGAGGTTTAGAATCATTGAGAATGGTCATTGAGACTTTTTCCATGTAAAAGAAAAAATATTTACTTCCCTCCATATACAAATTCCACTTTTTGAAGGCTGGTGCTCTCACTCCTCTGTTCCAGGGTATCACAAATGAAGATCACAGAGCACGGAAGAACATTTAACAGCTCTTAAAACTGCTGTTATCTGTTTTTTGTTGGTTTTTCCTCCTGTCTAAGTCTCGCTGAAATTTAAAAGTGGGCCACTGATGCAATTACCAAGCATGTGTTATCAGAAGTGTTAAAAAAAGCAACTTAGCTGTTGGCTGCATTTTATAAATCTCACATGGAAAAATGGCTTTTTCAGGTTGTTATGATCCAGAACAAGATAAATGATGTGCTTTCATTATTAATTCCAAATGGCTGGCAAAAGAATTCCACACCAATGGAATTTTACAGACTGCACTCTGTATTTCTTGTCCAATAAAGACACATGACGTAAGTTTAAAGCCTAGAATCTGGAACCTGATGCATACCAGGTTCCCAGCCCTCATGTGGCACACACCGGGCTCTGGGTGCAAGTGACACATTGCTGAACATGTAAAGTAAAACCTGTGGTTCCATCCCAGGGCTCTGTTTTACACTACAAATAAAATGGGATGGGAAGAGATGCCAGGATGGGTTGTGTGGAAGTTACTTGCAATGTGGTTTTCAGTGGCAGCACCACCATGCAACTCCCCAAACAGCAGGGTAGGGAATAAACCTGTGAACAGCCAGGAGTACAATGAGAAACGCTAATTGAGTGGAACAGTCACTCCCACAGGGAATGGCAGAGCTTCCTCTGCAGGCCATGGAAGAGCCAGATGTTCTCACACAGCTGCATCAGCCACCTGAACTCCAGAACTGAAGGTGCTCACTCACAGGGAGGCTCCAAGTTCCCTGTTTGTTACAATCCCAATCCTGTTTGTTCCCTTCAATATTCTCAGAGAAGTGTTTCTCAGTCCCAGGATGAGGATTTTGTGTGGTGTGGGACATGAGGGGGTCCATCCCTCAGGCTGTGGTGCAGAAGGTGGTTCCCAGGTGAAGCAGTCTCAGCCCATGCACTGGGTGCCACAAGCTCACACCACGTCCCACAGGCACTTTGCTGTGTATGTTTTGCATTTGCCACCTCACAGGTTTTCTAGAGATAGTTTTTAGTAGATCCAAACCCAGCTACTCCACCCTGTATCAAGGAACCACAGGCTTGTGCCTTTCTGTGCAGCCTCTCCAAGGCCACAAGCACAGGAGGTGGTAGAAGAATGACTTCAAGGGCCAATGCAGTCACAAGGGAGTTCAGGTCTTGGTGGTGCTGCAGAGGTGTTGCCACAACTGCAGCCAACAATTAAGTATTCCACTGTAATCAGTGGCCACTTCTTGCCAGAGAAAGAGCCATGAACAATCGTTTCCACACTGGCATTGTCTACCAGCCAGGAAGGATCCCTTTGACTTCGCCCCGAGGGGAGCCTGCAGCAGCTCACCATCACCTGTCCTTCAGTTCAGAGCTCTGGAGAGGAAACATCAATCACAAAAAAAAAGAGATTAAATTGAAATCCTTGCAGCAGTTATGCCAGATCACACCACCAACTGCACTTTCACACACCTGAGGAAGACCACAGGACATCAGGGGCCTCCTGGCATTCACGGAGGATGTCAGCAATGTCCAAGCACCTCTCTCTCAGCACAAATTCTCATTGCAAAATAAGGAAGGTAAGCAAAATACTGGAAGGTGAGTCCTGGAAGTGAACTGGCCGAAGAGCTCCAAAGGAGAGGGTAATGGTTCTGGCAGTTATCCATCAGATCTTTCTAACAGGAGGATGGGAGAGGAAAAGGTGGTTTCACTTTCTCTTACCTTTCAGCTGAATCAGTGCTTGAATTCTGCTCAGGTGCTACTTTTGCATAACTCAGAGGCACACTGAGACCCACAACTGGGCCTACAGTACTGAGCCACAGAATAATGTAATTTTTGTGCCTAGGGGAAAAAAAAAACCACAAAAAAGCATCATAAATATATTATTCCAACTTTTTCTGAATTGCAGACAGACTCAACAGTCATAACTTCAGATTACTTCCTTCACTTTATCAACAGCAAATATATTTTAACTTTCTGTGACAATACAGAAACTTTTAGACCAAGGAGGTTGTTTTGGCTGTTTTCACTCCTCAGCTGATTTACTTTACCTGCACTGCACAAAGCCTTGCAAGGCCCAGCAGTGCCTCTCGCCTGTTGTGCTTCTCACCTGTTGTGTTTCCATGGGCCAGTCAGCACAGTGGAGATGAATTCATTAGTTCTGCAGGGGTGCAGAACAAAAAAAGGCTGCCCAAGGATGGGGTGCTCCTAGGAGGGAAGATCAGCTGCTTTATTATGGAAGGAAAAAAACAGAAAATACACACCACATGCATTTGGAAAAGACAGAGCAGGGTCCAATTAATCCCTGATGCACCTTTTCTCACTTCAGAATCTAACCCACATTGCTCTTCCACTGATCATCATGACAAATTAAGATATACTATATATATTGTACGCTAATTAATATATATTCTTCACTCTTAAAAGGGAAATAAGATCACCAACCAGACTGTGCCACTATTTTAGTTAAAATGTAGTGGTTTGCAAAAGTGACTCAAGTTACTGAAGCAGCATTGCCTTAATGCAAGGAGGCAAAGCTACTGTGTAAACGAGAGTCTGATCAAGTGTAATACATAAAACCAATCCTCTCAGTAGAAAAGCGCTTCAACAACCTTGAGCCCTTGTGTCTTCTCAGACTGGTGCTGGGAAGTATTTTTTTATTTTTATATATGTAATTTTTTATTATATATATTTTTATTTTAAAATTTTTATCTATATTGCATTTATGCTCTGGCACAGATTTCCCTTGTCCAGCTGCAGCCAGACTCCCTGAGTTCTGTTGTGGTATTTTACCTTAGCACATAGTAAATTTCTGGCACAAAAGAGAAGATGCAAAGTCTTCGTGCCACACAGGAGAAAATCTTTCTCCAACCCCTTTCCTAGAAACAAAACCCAAATCCTAACCTGTCATCTTCAGCAGGTAGGGCATCTTTAATACTATTAGCTATTGAACTATTGATACTATTAACAATTAAACTATTACAGCTGAAGGACATTTGGTTCTTATGCTGAAAATATACTCGTGAGGATCAATCATTTTATGTCTAAGAGAAAAAACTTCAAGAAGCTTCAGGATATACAAAAAAATAATATTCAAAAAGCTTTGTTTTACACCACAAACAAATAATCTGCACAAGAATACTATCATCTACTGTTGGTAAAAGTGAATTGTTGATGCAGTTTTCCATTGAGAAAAACTGCTAGTTTGAATTAAAAAATCCTTTTCATTATCTCCTAGCTCAAACCAGCTTAGGTCTCCAAATAATTCCAGAGAATATATAGATTGTGCCAATGGTATTTCTTAAAGATAATAAAAAAATATATAGTTGACAATATTTACAAAACTGTTAAGCAAAGGGAAAAAAAAAGTAAATTGTGCAAAAATGTCAGCAAACTCCCTTACACAAAAAAAGAGTGTAAAAAGGCAGCACACACACCCAAAAAGAACAAAGAATGTAACCTGAGCTTTAAGTGATTTAGCACTCTGAACAAGGCATAAAGATAATTCCCAAAGCTGAATATTAATCCTGAAGTTATCCCAACCTGCCCCCTCGTATTTGATTCCATCTTGCACTTCTTGCTTCAGCAAATCACTAGTGAGTGACACATGGTGGCTGACTTGACTTTTCAAAACAGCTTATTAAATTTACATTCTACATCTTTCTTCTTTCAGTTTTTCCTCCTCTCACAACTTGACAACAGTGACACTGAAAAAACTCCCAAACTCAAGAGTTCTATGCTATTCCAAAGACAGGAAAATGTCACACACTGACAGGAAAACCACAAAAGCACAGGAGTTTAAAAGAAATACTGAGCCAAGACCCATTAAGGAGGAGCTTCTAAAAAGGGAAAAGGCTGAGGCAGGGAAGAAGAGCTTGTTGAGCACCAGGGAAACACTCTGAGAGCATCAGCTCTGATTCAGTCAAATCCTGAATTCCAAATCCTGTACATAATGGCAACCCCGCAAGGCTTTAATGTACTCTCAAGGTTAAATCACTGACACAGCAGCGCTGAGGAGGAAACACTGGGCAGGTGCCAATAAAAATGCAGGAGTTATCAAAGCCCTGGATGATTTCAGAATTGGTAACAGGCTGCAGAGCCTGCTCAGGTTTGGTCCGGGCTTGACCAGCCAGGGCTCATTATTATACAACACCTGGACAGGCAACTGCCACTCAAAGTGCCATTAACTACTGCCCTGAGAGAGGGCTGGGTGTCTGCAGAGGGATGAACCCCAAGTCCTTCCCAAACACCATAAAAAATGTGAAAATGAACAAAAGTTTGTGCTGCATCAGCTTCATGAGCATATTTAGTACCTACTGCAGTCACCTGGTGGAACTATGACACTCCACATGCAGTGAAATGTATCCTGGGCAAAATACTAGGGCAGCAATAATACCCTTCATCTACGCTGATCTGTGGGCCAGACACATGAAAACTATAAAGTCCTACTGGGACTTTATGCAAAAAAAAAAAACCCAGTACAAACAGTATAAAAGAATCCTCCCATTTTTAGTTTACAATTAATCTTTTTCCAATCGGTGATGTAGCAGTGTAGGGTGCTACAACTCCATTCCCACAAGTATTCTCTGCACTGTACTGCAAGAACTCATTTGCAGGTTGCCCACAACTCTTCTGGGCAGTAATACACTGGCAGACAGTTTATCTGAAATCAGCAGCATTATTCTCCTGGATCTGTCTATGATTTTGGATCTATCTACTTGTGAGGATGATTCATAACTCTGCTTGCTCAGCACTGCATCCTGGAGTCCATCACATATCTGCATATCCCTCTGAGTCTGACCCAGCTTTGATAGGAAATGAATATTTTTAAAGGCAGGAACTAATTCTGTTGAGTTTGAAAGCCCAAAATGTTGTTTCATTTATTTTCTGTAGAAAGACTTCTTTACTAGGTGACTTCTAGATGTGTAAAGACATTCTGTACCAGTTTCTGTAGCTGTTACCTCAACTCCTCCGATAAAAAAACAAACTTGCAAGAGAGAGATGGATGAGAGACATGAAATGTTTCATTGGGCAGTTTGAAAATGAATTATAGAATCACAGAATGGTGTGTGTTGGAAGAGACCTCAAAGTCCATCCAGTCCCACGCTCTTCCACAGGCAGGGACACCTTCCACTATCCCAGGTTGCTCCAAGCCCTGTCCAACCTGGCCTTGGATGCTTCCAGGGATGGGGCAGCTACAGCTTCTCTGGGAAACCCATTCCAGTCCCTCACTACCCATCTAGGGAAGCATTTCTTCCCAATATCCCATCTAACCCTGCCCTCTGACAGCACAGCATTCCTTGTTCCCCAGCTGTGCAGGTACAACCCTCCATGCACAGGCGGTGAGTAGGGAAATGTCAAGACATGAATCTCAACAGTAGCAAAGACTGGGCAGCTCCCAAGTACAAGTCTAATTAAGACTAAAACTTCTGTCAGACTGGATTACATCATTTTATCAAGCAGTCTTCACATCAGATTTAAACCAAAAATAAACATCACTTCAGGTAACAGGTCACTGTGTGTAGTATCCTGCTCTCCCCACCCAGCCAGCAGGAGTTTTGTTGTCAGTACATCTCCTGTAACAGCACCATTTATTTTCTCTGTCATAACTGCAGCTCTTCCAGAGGTAATGGCTTCTGTGCCATTTTCTCCAGTGCTACATTAAACTGCCTTCAAGCATCCATCACAACATTTATGGTCTCTCCATTGATGATAGTGCAAGGGATTTGCGCCTGAAACTGCCTCTGTCCTGATCTGGTTTATATGATGCTGCTTTGCAAAAATAAATCTGTGGAGGGGAGTCAAAAATTTCATGCAGGATACTACCAGCAAACACCACAGCCTGTGTCAATTGATGTCAGATATTTTCCCAGCAGTTCTCACAGTCCTAGTCATCAGATCAGAAAAAGAAGGCATAATTAATAAAATCTGTCCCTGTAATCTCTTCCATGTAGCAAAAGGAAACAGTGATGTAATGAATAAAGAGGATGCAAGCTTTTCCCTTTTTCCCAATTTTTGACCACATTTACTGAAGCAAATGTCTTGAGTAAAAATTCTGCTCTCAAGATTATACCCTAACTAATTTATGTTCTTGAATTCACGGTCTGTCATCTTCTTTTTCATTCCTTATTTTTATATACATCAATAATAACTTACTTGTCAATAAAATCCAACTCTACACAATCAGAAATAAGGTAGCAAGATTTTTCTCTTCAGACTGACCCTGTGTCCCACAACCAGAAGACTAACTGCATGATGGGAACTTAAAATATGTTGAACTTTAGGGATTTCCCTCTATAACAGAATTACTTCAATGGAAACTGTTAGCATGGAATCAGTATGTTGCAGATGCAACATTAAGGAACTGTAATTATAATCCTCCTAGTAGATGTAAATAATAGTAATAAAGCTGTTGATAGCATACTAATTGTATAGGGCTTCTCCATCCTACTGACTTAGGGTTACTGGGGAGAAATCCTTCCCTGGGAAGGTAGTGAGGGACTTTTCTGGATTTTCCAGAGAAGCTGTGCCTGCCCCATCCTTGGAAGTGTCCAAGACTAGGCAGGATGGGGCTTGGAGCAACCGGGGATAGTGGAAGGTGTCCCTGCCTATGCCAGGGGGTAGAACCAGATGGACTTTGAAGTCCCTTCCAACCCTAACCACTCTGAGATTCTCTGATCTGGGACAGGTAACTTACTTATAGTCACCTTGATTTCAATTTACAAGCAGAAGCCAAGCCATCCTACTGAAATTTCTGAGGAATGTTTCTCTAACTTTGCCATAAAATCCAGAGAACCCATAAAATCCAGTAGCTGAAGATGGAACAACCTCCTTCTGCCTGCGACAGCTGCTGAAGAATGACTGTGAAAGTGCAACTACCACTGTTCTGTATTTTCTTAGACAATCAAAATAAATCTGCAACAGCTCCGAGCAAGGCAAAACTTGAAGGGATCCTGATCAGACAAAAAAGTGCAAACCAGATCAAAAAAAAGCAAATTGCTGTCATTACTAAACCTCTCTTTGGCAGAAGAGGCTGCAGAGTGATTGGATTTACACCCTTTGCAGACAAGCAGTTGCAATTGCCCTGATGATTTAATGTCTCTGTTCCACATGAGTTCCCACAGACAGACCAACCAACTTTAGTGACAAATTTTTATTCATACCTTTACTACCACCAACCCCACATGGTCAATTAAGCTGGATCCTAC